CCAAATAGGTAAAGCTGCTGTATTGCAGCCCCCAAACTGTTGCATCTTAGATTAATCACAATGGAGGTCAAGAAGGGAAGGGAGAAGATTACAACCTAAAGTGGCTGATGCCTTAAAATGCTGCAGGTTTCTTTTCTGAAGCAATTACTAGAGGCACCAGCAATTTTCTGTATGGCCCTACTTTTTCCTGTCACAGTTTTCATCTTAGTTCCTATTGGTCCTCAGCTCTTTATAATCACTTCTCTAAATTTACTTTAAGTTTGTTGATCAGCTGGAAACTAAAGCTACAAGATTGTTAGGAAGTGTTTTCACGAGAATATGAATAGTATCTTCCACTATTATTTGTATTATTGTAGGGTTTCTTATCACTCTGTTGCAATGAGAATTTACATAATGCTGTTGAACATATTGTAATTAGAAAGTAATTAATGTTAGAAACATGATTTTGAACCAGTGACCGTTTTCTCTAATATCTGCTAAATATTATTGCTGTCATTCATGTTAATTGATGTACCCTAGGTCAAAATAATCACCTAACAGAAAATCAGGCACAAAATTGGTAAATATAAAGAGAGGCGTTCAAAGACAGACTGATTTTCCCAGGTGTAGTTCATTTTACTGATTTTGATGTAATTACACTTCATCTACAAGAATCTATGTAAGATGAGAAGAGAGATACGACTAGGGGCAATAGGCATTCAGAAATCATATTATGGAAATACTTTATTGTGAAGAAAGAAAATAATTTTTTGAATTATTGGGAGCAAATTAGTTGTGAAAGGGATATAGGCAGTATAAATCAAAGGCAGTTTCTATAAATTGGAGCTGTGGGGGGCTGTGTTTTCCTTGGAAAACAGAGGCAATAAGTACAAACACAGTTAGCTGTTATTTGTCTTTAATAGATTCTACTTGGACTGATTAATCACATATTGATTATACCTAATAATTGCCTACTGTCTTTTTCTAATGTGTATCACAGCATTGAAGTTCAGGTGACTGTGAAGGTAATGAAGTGCCATCATAAACGATTCCATAAGAAAAGTAGGGAAGGTGTTGGAGATTTCATTTCACAATAGATCAGAGCTATGATTAATAAAAATTGCTGTTCCAGAATCAAGGTCTTTCCTTTAAAGTAATGGTGCTTCACATTGTGTATATCCTTCCAACTGATGTATCAAGGAAAGAGGAGAAATGTGACCAAATGATCTCATAAAAGATTCTTTTTTATAATTGGTGCTTTTGTTTAAACATTGATAATGTCTGAATCGTGGACATCCAAATCTTTTTACTTTAATGTGGTACTTACTCATCTTATACATTGTGCTTTAGTGCACAGGAGAAGGACCTGGTCCCTGTGGTATACAGATTGAATCTCTATTACTATTTCTTTCTGTTAAGTGATATGCTCTGAAAAGGCGAAGCAGTGTTTTATGGCTTAAGTACAGAATTTTCATGTTGGAGGACAATGGATATAAACTAGAAAATATATTTTCAAGCAGTTGATGGTAAAATGAGATACTGCCTCCTTGGATTCTTTCTGTACATGTACACTTGGAAGTCGTAGGTACCCAGTAAGTATGTTTTCAGTTGGCACAAGCCTTTCAAAACTCTTTCCCCACTGAGAAGGCTTTTCAGTTTCTCATGGGACTCAATAAACTGAACAGTTTGATTGTCATTCATAATACAAGTTAGACACAGAGTGGTAGTTCCTGGAGTTCCCATTATGTATTCTAAATGTTAGAAAATTATATTCAGTTATCTTTTCAGTTGCTAAAATAATAACTGATGTGATTTCATTTAGATCCATGTTTCTTGTTCGCACTCAAATATTAACAGTGACAAATCTTGTATGCCTGAAAGGGCCTGGATTTTTATCAGTGCTTTACTGGTAAAATTAATCTTTTAAAGGTTATTTGCACACTGTAAGCAAAATTCTGTATTTCAGCTTTTGTTTCTTTTTTTTTCCTAACCATTTTTAGCCATATGTACTTTTTCTCACCTGTAGCATCAGAATGTAAGCTCTTTGATTGCCGTATGAGTATGAACTGATGAAAGGTCTTCACGTTTTGGTTAGTCTTTATCAATATTGTATTTCATGTATGTTCACAGTCTTCAATTCTGTGCTGTTTCCCTCTGAAGTAAGGTGGGAATAGAATTAGAGAGCAGCATGCTCACATAGGTGTGGCAGTTGGAGGTGCATGTATTAGTCCGCGAGTGTTAGTATCAACAGAAGGAATCCCCTTTCTTTTGATTATATGAGAAAAATTGTAATGCTCATCATCATAACGTAGAATCTAAATGAATTAATATGACTTCATTAATAAAGTAGCTGATTTCAGTGAGTGATGAGCTGTCGTTTAATCTGATGATGTCATACAGTGGAAATGTTTCATTACAGTGTATGCTGATGGGACAGATGCAGCTAGTCTGGTGCATTGCAAAAGAAGAAAGCTTTTCTTTATTTTTTATACTCTCATCCTGCTACTCCATTACATCAGTTTGTCTGCTCTTAGACCTTATGCACCACTGCAACCTCCATTTGGTCTGTCTATTTCTTAGGATATGAAAAAATGTCTTGACTATAGAGCCAGGTATAAAATTAGGATGCATACAGATTCAGATACTAATGCAGAGGTGGCTGCAAGAAAGAGTTTGATTCTGAAAGGTGTTAATGTCTAGACCAAACTGTCACAGGTTTGTGGACATTGTCTCTCTCATAATCAGAGTGAATCCAGTGACAAGAATCACACGAACAATAAGAAAAATACAATTTCCATAGAAATAGAGCATTTTCAAAGTTACAATATAATTCAGTTTAGCTTTAATAGCTATTCATAGGCTTTCTGTTGTGTTGTGTAGTAACATTGGCTTCACATATTTTTTGGATTATACTTCTGTTTTAATTACAGGTTTTCACCAAGATAAATTTGCAGTAGGCTATAGAAGAGGGCTTGTGAAGTTACTCTTATCAGAATCTGACTAGTAGTTATGTGAATATATTAAATAGACTCCTTTAGCTTATGTTTACATCCTCAGCCCCTGTGTTCTCAAAACTGCTTCTTGCGAGTGCTGTGTCATCTTAAGATCACAAATGCTGCTCTTATACCAAAATGAAGGATCAGAGCATTTGTTGTACTTTTCCTTTGTATATGAACTCCCTGATGTTTCCCATGGTCCCATCACTGTCCACATTGGAGATCTATCACAGAGGATACTGTAGCTCCTTCTAGCCCACAGAATCATGCTTCTTTCCAGTGGAAAATAGGGTACATGGCAGGAGGGCTGATATATGTGTAAATTTTGCCACAACATAAAATCAGACTCTGATGAAAGCACACACTAATATCCATGAACTACATCTAAGTCCTGCCATTTAAAATTCACTTTTTGAACCCAGAATCCATGCAAAAGTGTCTATTATATGTGACAAGGATAAGACAAAGCATCCCATACTTCTCTGCAGCCTAAAATTATATTGTTTTATCCTAAGACCATCTTTAGCTTTCCTGGGAAAGATCATGGGCCAACCTTGAGAGCCACCCCCATCAACCTCAAATTGCATCTCTCTGTGAAAATCTTTGGCTTGCTGGGTAGCTTCAGATCTTGAAACTGTAATGAAAAGGGTGTAATGGCAGAACATCCAGTCTTTGGAGAATTGTCTTATGTATGAATCCAGTCCAGAAAGGCTGATGTCTTTATGTGAAACATTCACATTAAACAATGTGAAGTTTCCAGCTATTAATCATTTCTCCTTAGGTACAGGCTTCTGAAGCTTTTTCTTCTCAAATACACCAAGGTGGCAAGTTCCTTTTCCCTCATTTCACTTACAGTTACAAATCCTACCACCTTTGCCATATGACAGAAGTATTACTTTTATGATTGTGGACTCCTAGACACCATTTTGACTGTGATGGATGCCATAAGAGGCTGCAGAAGAAAAAAAAAGGAAGGAGGCAGGAGATGGGACCCCTCAGGGCTTCCTGTGGGCAGCTGCAGGCATGTGGTGAGGGCAGCAAGCCAGACAACCCTTGGAGGTGACCAAAGTACTTCCAGTGCCCAGGAGGACAGGCAGAGATGGCAGCCCCTCAGGAAAATGCTGTTAGCCACAGCCTGCCCGCACAGATGGAAGAACCCGTTTTGTTGGTTAAATGGTACCATCACAATCCTTGTCACCCTCATTATCTTTGACCAACTGCAATAAGAAATTATACTCAGTAGCTGTCTGTCCAAAAAAACTTACAGAAAAAAATATGTATGTATGTTGCTCAGGAGAGGTTGAGCCCAATAGAATCTAACTGAAACCTGTTCTTCTCCTTGTTCTATGTTTTCTGTGAACCAGATTGTTTCTTTTTTAACAGCCTGAAAGCACCCTTTGAATAATGCATACATAATCTTAGTATTACAGTATGGTATAATAAATGTATATGGTGCCCTATGGATATCACAGTTGGATTGTTAAGCATATGCCAAGGACATTTCTGTTCATTTGTCAGTTTGGAGACAAATCCTGCTGCAGTGAAGCAGAGCTAGCCTTAAGGCACCATATAAAATACTGCAGATTACTGATTTCTCAAGTGACAGTAATTAATGACAGGGAATAAACTCTCTGTTCTGAGTCATCCCTTCTTGTAAAAGTATCATCAACAACCTGTCTAGCAAAGCAGCACTTAGTTCATTCACATCAGTTGATGTGGCTGGGCTCCATACTACAGCAGGTGTCTGCAGTGGTAATTCCCAGTGATCTCTACACCATAATTCTCAGTGATCTGAGTCAGGAATTTCCTGAGTTCTCAGGAGATGCCCAGGACCAATTTCTAGGAGATTAACAGGGCACTTTTGCAGAGAGCGTATTGCCTTATAGAGTGCGAAAGGGAAATTCATGTGCAACTACATTAGAGCTACATGGAAAGAGAAGTTCAACAGCAGTGATGCAGTTGAATCATTCTAGAAGTTTACAGACTTTAAAGAAAAAGTTAATTTTTATTTTCTTTTACCCACAGGTCTACCCACGGATAGCGCCGGCATTTTGGCACTACCTGCGGGTAGAAGTGAGTAGCGGGTATTTGAATACTCCAACATCTTTACTTTACAGCTTACTAGTGTTTACTGACCTCCTAGTTTGTCCATTGTGCAAAAATAATTAGCTACCATTATAGCTGCCATTATCTCTAAATGTAGTCTTGTACTAATTCCATGTTGTTTTGACTACAGCGTAATTACTAACCCAAGTCACAAAGATGTGATGTGATGTTTATATGCAAGATCAAAGACAAAATGATGAAATCTAAGTCAAGGCCATATCATGCATTATGACAATAGCACAAAATCAAAGTACAGAAATCCATGCCTACACCTCCTTTTATAAACACATTTTACATTCATGAGAAGAATATGGATCTTCTGTTATATCATTTTTGCAAAATCTGTACTACTCAACTTGATATCATTTCTCCCCTCTTTTGTCCCTCAGGAGCATGAGCAGCTCAGCTATTCCTCCACAAGGTCCAAGGCTCCAAGTGTTATCATCACAGGTCTCAAGCCAGCCACCAAGTATATATTTCATATCAGAGTCAGGACGGCAGCAGGATACAGCGGCTATAGCCAGAAGTTTGAATTTGAAACTGGAGATGAAAGTAAGTTTCACTGAAGGAAAACAAAAATCACATACAATAGGAGCAGCATCTGTTACTGAAACATTGAGACATTTGGGGGTTTGAATGGCTGGATCTATACCATTTGCTTATCACAAAATGACTACTACTCTATGACAAAAGCAAGTAGGCTTCAGCCTCACAATTCCTAACAATAGATGTTTTAGCCCAACACTTCAGCTGAAGGAATCTTTTCTTCTGCCAGATTTCCTTATGGGTCCCTTCCAACTTGAGATGTTCTGTGATTCTGTTGCTTAAAGAAGGCTTTCCTTTTGACATCTAAAGTACCCTTAGTCAGACTTTATGTAAGTCTAGCAGCTTCATGCAGGCTCTCAGAACACAGCAATGAACTCTTTTTCTGTGGTTATTAGTGCTCCCAGAGTCTACAAATTAAAACAAAAATAAAAAAAAACAAAACAAAATGAAAAACAAACAAACAAAAAAACAAACAAAAAACAAACAAAAAAAAATTATATGCATTTCCATCAATCAGTAAGCCTACTAAATTTACCAGTAAAAAGCAAAAAGCCTACATATTTCTACATAATAATCAAAAAGGCTTGATGCTGTGGATTATGTTTGTGCTCTAAACAGTTTTATTATATTCATCATATAATTGCCCTCCATGTTCAAAGAAACTGCAAACAAGGTATCTACAAGCAATTGAGATAAAACTAGTGTAGTAGATACAACAGTAAAACGCCCATGAATGAAATTGCTTTAATTGACCAATTTTTTCTGTCATGTTTTTCATTAGTGTTTTAGAACTCAACTTGCTTAAGCTAACATATGGACTCAGAACTGTCTGTTTCCAAGAGCACCCATGAGTTTGTGTTCATTGCTTCTTAATGTTTGAGGGATAGATTTCCAAGCACTTAGTGCTTACTTTTTCTGGGTACTGAAGCAAATTGGTTTGGATAGGAGTGGAACACTTGGGTGCTTTCAAGAATTCCAGTAGATCCTGTCTGCATCTTCCGATGCAATAAATACTAGGTACCCAGGCACATAACTAGTCAAAAGTAAAGGGTACTTAAACCTCTGTGAGCCTATGTTTGTAAAATGTGACTTACCAATTTAAATCAGGAAGACTGTGGTTCCAGTGACATTTCTTTCATTGGCATTGCTGATAGAAATATCTCCTGGGAGTGAGATTCCACCTCTTCCTTGCCAACACCACATCTTCTTCTCAACTGCATTGATGCAACAGGCTCTTGGGCTGCACGGTGAGCTAGAGCTCACAACACTCTTAAACGTTTAATGCTTCTATTACATCTAAGCATACGTCAGTACGAATCTTGATAGTGAAACATAAATACATATTGTATATTTGCTGTTTACCAACATCTGTTGCTTAAGCTGGTGCCTGACTAAAGGCGTGTGATTTGTTATAAATCGTGTGATTGAAAGGAAACGTAGACAGAAGAGGTTTTGTTTATGATCAATTGAAATGGAGGCCAAGAGAAATTCTGCTGTATTTTGAAATGGTACCTGGAGCTAGATAAAGACTTCAATTTAATTAAATAATAGTTCAAATGACTGTGGTCTTATCCAAATATTTATACAGTATTGCTTTAGATTTCAAAGGGAAAAAAAGTATAGCAAAGTGACTGCTGGTAAGTACTACTTATTTCAGATGGAAGCAGTACTCAGTGACCAGTTGAATGATGCCTTGTTACTCTCCAAGTATCTCACTTTCTCACAGCAGTATTTTGAAAATTGGCCTATTCTAAAATTTAACACAGTGTGAAGGTGATTTTAATCATTCATTTGCACCCCTTTCATACCATGGGCCAAATGTCTGTAACTGTAACTTTTTCAGTTAGCTAAAGACAAGCGATTGAAATGCAACATCTACCATATACAAATAGTCTCCCAGTAATGGGGAGCTCAACATATTTACAGGTAGATAGATAGTGCCAGTGCTTAAGCCTCATAATCAAACATTTTCAACTTATTTCTAGCCTGAATTTTTTTTTGTCTTGTGCCTTTTGATCCATTTCTGCCAAATTAAAAAGTTACTGTGGGAAATCTCCTTCTCATCTAAATGTGTTCATGCCATTTTAAAGACTGTTATCTTTCCCCAAAGTGATATAAATGCTCTCTCTCACACTCTAAAAAAAACTCCAACTTGTCTTCCAAACATTGGTCATTTTGTAGCTGTCTAAAATTCTAATGTCCTTTTTGAAGAGAAGAATAACACCAGAGCTGAACCAGATGCTGAATTAAACTGGAAAAATAAATCTGCTTATGATGCCAGAAACTGACCTGACACTGCTTACCTTCTTAGAACTCAGTTTTCTTTTACTTACACGTCTAAACATTTGCTGCCTGAACTCGAGCATAGTCTTACACAGCTGAATAACTAGAGCATAGCAAAGTTTTTATCAATACGATTGTATTCTAAGCTACTGACCTACATTTAGATGAAAGATTTGGGGAGGAATGTGTTGAGACATGGACTGCATAGTTGTATCAGCACATGTAAATGTTAATTTGCCCTTGCATAGTTGTATCAGTACATGTAAATGTTAATTTGCCCTTTCTGGCATGACTATATCTTACAAACCAGTTCAAGTCAAGCTGTGTGGGAATCTGTCTTCATCATGTAGTACTCTGGCATATGCAGCTCAGCTGAAAATGTTCTGAATTTTTAATACATATTCTCAATTATTCTGAAAGATACCAAACAATATTAGACCAAGGCAGGCTATTGCAGCTCCCCCCATCCCTACCCATTAGAAACAAGTTGGTGAAAATTCCACATTTGCAATTGCTTTTTGTGGTCTTTCAGTTAGCCAGATTTTAATTTATTTGATGTCAGTTAAAGTTAACATTCTCATGAGCAGGCTGGGAAGAATGCAGTCTTTTAAAAGGATGTGTTGACAACAGATAATTTGTCTACCAACAGTCTCAAAAGTTACAAAGAAGTATTTCAGGTCATGTGTTTGATAAAAATCCTTCTCAGGCACAGTAGCTTGCAACATCCTTCAGCTCTCTACCAATTGTACATGTTACAGTCTTAGCATCTAGAGAAGGATTCCAGGACAAGATGAACTTCCAAGGTTATTCCATTTACCTTGCTTGAATATTGACATGATTTGTTAATAAATAGAGGTAAAGCAAGCAATCCCAAAATAGGATTTTTCTTTAAAGTGATAGTCAAGTTGTAAAAATCAGTGTCTCATCAATTGTGCAACATGCATATTAATATCCTAAAACTTGCTGTTCTTGGCAGGACAGCGCTGTCCTGCCTTCTCCAGTTTGCTGGTTGAAACACTATCTGTTATATAGGATAAAAGCTGAGGCTGCTGCTGGGAAATGCAGTACTTTTGCAAAGCCTAGTAACCACTGCTTTGACTGTTTTATTACCATTTTATTCAGTCTCCCTGTTTCATCACGTTACAGCAAAACACTTCCAGCAAAGCTGACTGTTTCATACGCTCCAGTACATGCACATGTACCACTGTTGTGGCTATAAATTGAAGCATAACTTCACTCATAGCTCCTGCTTTTATGTATCTGTAGTACCAACTATTTGAGTCACTACAAAAAACTGGTCCTCCCTAGGATAGAAGCTGTCCCTAGGATTTTTAGAAATACATTGAATTACCAATGTGAAACGGACTTTTGTTGTTGTTGGTAGAATGTTTGGTGCTTTGTTAACAATAAATGAAATTTCCAGTTGAAACAAACAAGTGAGATAGCACATATCTCATATTTAGAAGGTGTCTTGCTGGATCTCTCCCCATGTCTTCCTCGTCCTACTGTTCATTCAGTAGTAGTCAGCACTGGATAGTTCAGGATGTCTCATTTTAATCTTAAAGTATTCCTTACTGTATTTTGTATTTGCAGCTATTTGTTCTTCAAATTTGGCTTTGGCCTATCTGATTTCTCTAATGTATGTGCCCAGAAGCATTCCCTCTCAGACTGAAGCCCATCAGCTCACTGGAGCGCAGGAACTTCAGCACTCCTGAAAATGTAAAGGTTACCCCAATTAGACTCTGTACTTCTCTTTCTTACTGTTCTTAAGCACTGATGTTTACAATGCCTTGTAAATCCATCTGACATCCAGTTCCTGTCTATTAGAACTCCAGTTCTCCCAATCCACACTTACCTATCTTACAGCTGCTCACCATTATCTGTCCAGCTGTCTTTCTGTCATTTTTTTATCTTTCACTCTGCTGGAAGGTCTGCTGCCTGATAGTTGTCAAATTGAAATAACTGAAGGATGTAACTAAGAGACAGACGTGAGCTGTCATTAGGGCTTCCAGCCCTTTTATACCAAATACACAACCTTTTAAAGGATTTTGGAGAAAAGAAAGGAGAACAGAGCTGGAAGTTTCTCTTTCATCCTCTCACACTGTGACAAAAATGTCTGCACCATTTCCTCCAGTCTGCCCAAGTGAGGAAATGAAGAAACCTTGAGATATTTGTGTTCAGCCCAGAGAGGAGGGAAAGTGCAACTCCTTCCCACAAATGGGTGAAGAACCCAGGGAGGAAATGGGGTTGGATGCAAATGTATAGAGTAGGTGGGGATAGAACTGGTGCCAGGCTGGATGCAGAAGGGATTTCTGAGCATAGTGTTAAGCATGGAAGGTGGAACAACGCAGTAAGACACTTTACATGTCATTTTGGGTATATAACCTGAGTTAAGCATGAAGATTAACAGGAGTGAAGAGTTTACCTGGATAACACATTTCTCAGTACGTGTATGATGCCCGGTCATTTTAAAACCAGATCACCTGACTAATCACACCAGTTGCTGCTACAAAGTGTTTAAAGAGTTTTAACACCCAAACTTTATAGAGTACTATCTAATCATCTTCTGGGATAAGAAATAAAACCCCTTTTCACTGTCTTGTGCTACTCAATTTAAAGTATGTTTTTGTCAAAATGAACTTCCTGAGCAGACAGGCAAAGAGAATGAAACACGCTACCATACAGCCAGCCCAGTTAGATAGGGGAAGCTTCCAGGAGTGTCTTAGCACTGCTATTGGTTTACATATTCCTGTAGAGACAACAAAATACTGATTTTAGTTATATGAATTCTGGTCTTGTTGTTTAACTAATGAGATTCTGTGAAAAATGTTATGTACTTCTATGATTAAATGCAGCACTCTGATACACAAACACAGAGAGACGAAATAAGGTTGCAAGAACTTGACTGGCTTTGTAACCTATTGTAATTGGTTTTTAAACTGAGTTTTTCTGTCTTGTATAATCAATAATAGTCTTGAGGAGAAACACAGGGTCATATACCAATATTCACAGGTGATAGAGAGGAAAAATGAGGGAGGAAAAAGCAGGAAACGACAAAAAAGGTTCAAGAACATGCACAGCAGAAACAACGCATGTTAAAGCCCTTGTTCACAACTTGACCCTTACCTTAAGAGAAAACTGAAGAAATGAGAACAGAGAGATGGAGGGACATGGTGAATTTAATTTAGAATGGCAAAATGATGTAAAAAAAATTAATTATTGAGTGCCCCTGATTACTGTTTTCTAACTGTCTAGAAAGTATTTTATGAAACCTTTTACCTGCATGTGAGGAGTCTGTGTATGTGCGTACACGTGTGCTTATATACGTGCTGTTCACTGCACTGTGCCTTTATTGATTTCTATAAGGATCACTTCAGGCAAAAATAGGTATTTCCATCCTTTTCCCTTACCTGCCTCTCTGTCAGGTTTTAATAAATCCACATTTTCCAGTTATACTTGTCTGTGATTTGACATTTTTATCTGACAAGTAAATAAAGCTCATTGGGAAGTTTTAGGCTTGAGAGCCCCTTATAGCGATTTGGCTACTTGAAAAAAAAAAACCCTAATGTATTGGACTCTGGCCCTTCTGCTAACTCAGTAAAATACAAACAAGAGAAACAGAATGATCACTTTTTAAGTATGTGCCATCTCAGCTAAAAAGCATATTGCTTAGAGGTAGAAAGGACTAAGTATGGAGTTTCTCCCCTTCATGTATTTCACTCTGGTTCCTAATAGAAAATATGCTATTAAACTGATATATTGCATTCTGGTTTAGCTAGAACACCAGAAAATATCAGCTCCATTCAGCAGAAATGATCCAGCGCATGTGACTTTCTTCATCTTGATAGCAGCAGAGTCCTTCTTTGGACTGTGCAATCAGTCCCCACATTTGCACCTTTAATCCTCTTGAAGAAGAACCCTGGATTGTCTCCTTGCCGATGAATGCCTGCTGAAGAAAACCACAGCTAATTTATCTGAGCTCGTGGATTGCTTTTCTCTGGCTGACTTCACTATTTTAGCACACATCATCTTCCTATTAGAAGAAAAAAAGGAAGACTCATCTAAAACCTCCTCCTGCATTTACAACTTCAAACTGTGCTTGGCTTTAACAACCTTTGCAGCATGTAGCACAACCCCCTCTAGTCTGAAAATAGCATTCAGCCTGTGATTTGGAGAGCCTGTTATTACTTGCATTGCCACTTGTAGGGTATGATACTTGTTACGTTGTACTTTTCCAAATAAATCTGACCCTGTGAAGCATAATACAATGCAGAGCTAGAATCCACTCCCATAATATCACTAGATACCATTTTGGAGGTTAGCTATCCAGTATTTGCTACACCATTTATTGGAAGATGTATGTATGTAACTTCTCTGCAGAGAGCTTATGACCACATATACTGAACGCATTGTAATTTACTGCCCGTGCCTCTGCTGCCATTAAATTATATGGGCAAAAACCTAATGGCAGAAAATTAACAAGTTATTTTTGCTGAAAATTTGACATAAACTGCTGTTGTTTTTATTTACTTTACAACCTTTGCAGACAGTTTACAGGGCTGATGTCTAAACCACTCCCAAATACTATTTAGAAGCCAAATGTTTTTCATTTTATGAGGCTTTGGGCAGCAATGTGCGCGTTGTATTGGACTTCATCAACTGCAAAGCGAGGGAATATAGCCTGCTGAGCTTTCTAGGCTTTCCACATGATTTCCTTAAGCTTTAATCATCCGATGCCTAGAGAAAGTTGAAGATTTTGCTTACAGTGCAGTTTTAATGTTTTCAAAATTAAAGTTGAATTCATGATAAATCTAAAATTCTTGTTTTCTACATTTACCGCTGTTGTCGGAGGTCATTGAATAGAATTATGTATTCTCCTGTCAGAACAATGTTATGTTTCTTATGGGAACAGAAAGTTGGAATTAAGGGAATGGTATGTGGTGAAAATGTTCACATGTAACTGAGTTAAAGAAATAAAACTGGATTCACAAGACAGGAGATAGAGAAAAAACTGAGCCTTATTCTTTTTCTGCTCATGTAGTATTGGGACAGTGAGGACCAACCGGCCTATGAGTACTTTGTCTCTGTAAAGATTTAATATTATTCAGAATAAATTCATAAAAAGAGCAAGTGTCTGGAGACAAGATAATTTCAGGTGAATTTTTTTAACTCCCCAGTATTGTACAAAAAGCAGAGATAAAAATACAAGGTATAATAGTCCACCAGAGCATGCTATAGGTAAAACTGCATACAATTTGTGACAACCAAACTAAACACTAGACATACAGAGAAGTGTGTGAGGCTACACATTAAGTGTGCTTTTTCCTGTTTTCTCCTAAGCCCAGCTTAATATCTCTTACATACATAGCACTGTTGCTGGCTTCACTGGGACAGTTGGATGACACAAAGTTCTGAATGAGATGCAGGATTAAGCTAGATAAAGCTAAAAATACACCAAAACAACCCCAAAATGTCCAGTTTTGTGTTCAAAATCACATCATATTCAAACCTCAGCTAATTGCAAGTGTCTGGTAATACCAGCTCCTCATTTAAAAAACCTGTAAACCTCATCTCCCCCCCTCCGTTGTAGCTGGGACATGGATTATGGCTTTTTGTGCATTCACACCTGATGTCCTTCCTAAGCATCAAGGAAACTATTACAGTGATTGCAACATTTGACCAGTGAAACATTACCACCCCTTCTGTAAGAGCCCTGGATTTAACCTCTTTGTGCTTTCTTTCAGCTTCTGATATGGCTGCGGAGCAGGGACAAATTCTTGTAATTGCCACGGCTGCTGTTGGTGGATTCACTCTGCTGGTCATCCTCACTTTGTTCTTCCTCATCACTGGAAGGTAATTAACGCTGCAGTGTTCCTGTTTAGTCTGGGTCAGAGTCATCCAAAACGAAGAAGTTACGAATAACAGTTACACATTTCCAGTGTTTAAATAGGGTTAGACATAGCAGGGTGAATGTCCTCTTGGTTCAGCACTGCTCATACTCTCCGTTCTATTGTGAGTGTTGTTTTTCATAAGAACCCAGTTTGAGGAGCTAAGCACTTATGTGAAATCAAAAAATTGACTATTTTTTAAACAGGTTTCTGGACCTCTTGTCTGCAGAGTGAGAATTGAAACATGCAATACCTGCACAACTATGTGTATGTTTTATAAGCACATTTTTGCAACTATTAAGATAAAATACAGGAATTACTTAACGAAAGTAAACTAAGGAAAACTTCCCTTCGAAGTGCTAGAATGATTCTACTGCCTGTGCTATCACTGGTGAACAGAAAATAGTTTCCTGGAGGTCGCAAATTGCTGGTTTTGGGCTTTTCTTAAATTGGATTGAAGACATCTCAGTTACATCTGCTATACACCAGTACTGTTGCACTGGCGGGACAGTTCACCAAGCTGGAAAATGATTATTTTTTATAATGACCCTGGTTCTTACAATTCTTTTAGCAAAGTGCTGATTGTCCACCTTTCTTCAGCTGATGCGTTGATCAGGATCAGATAATGACCTTATGCAGATTGGATGAGAAAGTATTTGATTTATGTGGTCAAATGCCATGCTCAATTAAACACTGAAGGCTTTAAGGGAACTCACAAATTCTAATTGGACATGCTAAAAACCACATGTAGAGGTCATCAATCCTTGCTGGGACTCAGATTACCATAGGCATAGATGCTTCCAGAATGTCTTGTCTCTGATTCCATTGAGCCTCCGGGTGTTTCCCATGTGGTCTGAGGACTTCACCTGCTTATAATCAGAAGGCAAAGCAGAATTTGAAAGGAGAAAGACATTATGTCTCTGTCTCCTCTGTTAAACATCAGTGTCACCACAGTCCTGCCATGGATCAAGAAAGCCTAAAACCAGACTGATCCCTTGTAGAGGTTATGTGCCTTTGAGCGCAGGAGTCATACTCGGCTCCTGCAGTAGGCTCTGTAGAGAGTGTATGTGTGGAGACAAACTTTCTTAGAACGTAACCTGGGGGGGAATCCCTATGTGGCACCCTGAAACAAATCAAATGCTTCTTTTAGGGAAAAAGTCACTAAACTCAGGACTGAAAAACATGTCAGTGGGTTTCTTTCAGTGTTTATTGCTCTTACTTGCTGCTGTTAAGCATATCAGAGATTCCATAGAACCATAGAATAGTTAGGGTTGGAAAGGACCTTAAGATCACCCACTTCCAGCCCCCCTGCCATGAGCAGGGACACCTCACACTAAACCATGGCACCCAAGGCTCTGTCCAACCTGGCCTTGAACACTATCAGGGGTGGAGCATTCACAACTTCCTTGAGCAACCCATTCCAGTGCCTCACCACCCTTACAGTAAAGAACTTCTTCCTTATATCCAATCTAAATTTCCCCTGTTTAAATTTTAACCCATTACCCCTTGTCCTATCACTGCAGTCCCTAATGAAGAGTCCCTCCCCAGCATCCCTGCAGGCCCCCTTCAGATACCCTTAACTTTCTAACATCTTACTCAGTGGGACCATTTCAGGAGTTAAGAGATGAGTTCATTTTGAAGTGCTGCTCAAACCCAGTGATAAGAGTGTATTCCACAGAAAACAGAGCAAGAAAATTTTGAATAAATACTCAATTTATGACTGGAGGTAAATTTCTGCACAAAAAACCGGGAGCAGTACCCTACAGACGTGCTCTGCTTCACTTGGAATACTGTTTAGAATTAACAATTTGATGAGCTATCAAGTCCTAGGGTTCTGATGAGTCTATTCATAGTGGAGAGGCTGGGTTAAATGAGCACCTGCTTCTGCACTTTGCTGAGTGATTATCCAAGAGCAAGCAGGAAGCATGGCTGTCAATTGCAGAGAGAAAAATGGAAGTGACAGAGACTTCAGGGGACAGGATATGCAGTGAGAGGGGAGTCTTGGCTACATTCTAGGAAATGTGATGTTAAAGCTCAGCGTGATTTATTCTTATCATTACAGAAATTATTCCTCTCTGATTTTCTGTATCCAGCACTAAGAGGGAACAGGAAGCTGGAGCTGGATGACTCCTCTGCTGGCAATTACTTGCTGGCTTCTGTAGTCAAACATTTGGGCCACATGCTCATTTAAGAGGATTGGAGGGTTAAAGCCTTTTCTTCGGTTGTTCTCTTGGGCAGACAGTTTAAGTGTAAGAGCTTGTGTTGAGTGTTCTTGGCAGTTGGCACACTACAGACCAGTTGTTCAGGTCCTAAAAGTGGAATCGGCATGCTTAGTGATCCCAGCAACTGGTGTACCATTTAAAGATTTCCACAGAAGCTGAGAATCCACTGGTTGCTGCTTCCCTCCCCTAAGGGTGCATAGCCATGACAGCTTCAGAAGTTTCTGCCCTTAAGGTGTTCATCATCATTTGTAGCAATAAATGAATTTGTGAATGTTCCTATGCTGTTTCAATGTTTAAATGAACTGTTGAAGTGGTGTTTTCACATATTTCTGGTATCTTGATTGTTAGTATTTTGCTGGATATAATATATATAATTTATTTTATTTTATAAAGCTGGTAATGACACAGAGGCCAGTAATTTTGTTCAAGCTGGTCTTGGAACTGAATATCTGTACACCAAAGCACATATCTACACACACGGGGTCAGTGCCCCAATAGCCCTTAGCCTAGCTCTTAGACCAAAAGTTTTCACTCTAAATCATACTACTTAGGATGTTCAGTGCATGAGAAAGAGCTCTAAGACCAAGAGCAAATACTTTGGTTTTATTTGATTGAAACAGTTTCTCCCAGCTTGTGTCTCTCTAAATTAGCATGAACAGCCCTGCAGGTAAGCAGCGTTCAGGCTGATTTTATTACAGGGAACCTGAAAGCTTGCCATGTGTCAGCTTTCTCCAGCATAGCCTTGCATTGTCAGGTAAGGCTGCTAACAATTCATGAATATCCGTTTTTGTGTTGTTTGCCAAGGATTTGCAGCAATCAGACTGGCATATGCTAAATCATCATATTCACATAGCAGGCTGTGTACTGTTTATCTTACAGGTTAGCTGCTATCTTACTAGAAGGAAAAAGTCAGTGTCTGGCGCTGACTGCACAGAGCTATTAAGGGAAAAAAAATAAGGGGAAAAATATAAAAGAGGTGCTGATGTGAACAAATATTTTCTTTTTTTTTCCATGAAAAATGGTAAAGTCATGGAAACTGATATCTTATGAAGAAAATGGGAGCTTTTTTGACCCACTGAATATGAAAGTTAATGGGATAAGGTTTAATTAGCACGAACCAGTGGATCCAAACAAGAATGCAGGGAAGTACTCATTTATTAAGCTATAAGGATTCTTTGGAGGAGTCAAACTTGGAAATAAAGCATTGCATCAAACATGAACTTTAGTAGTCATTTTCATACTAATCGTTCAACCATGATTTATTTGTATCTAATCTGTTTGTAGTTCTTCATGCATATATCTCTCTGTAGGTTCATAACTAAATTTAAATTTAAATTGAAGATTCTGGCTTTCATAAAAGTGCAGATAAAACTTAATATGTATTTATTTTATGCATGACAAATATTTTAATTAAAATCTCACTTGTTTTTCTTAAAAGGTGCCAGTGGTACATAAAGGCCAAAATGAAATCTGAAGAGAAAAGAAGGGCTCATTTGCAGAACGGGCATTGTAAGTAGTTCAATGCTATGTTTCATAATATCTATATCATATTTTAGATTTAGGATGTTCAGTCCTTGATGGTTTAATCTGACCACTTGAATAGTTCCTTGTTATGTGCATCATCAGGGGTGGTTTTGTTTCTACATCCTCTTGAACAATTTCACTAAATTCACTCTAGTTAGTAAGGCTTTTAGGTATTCTCCTAATAATATTTATCAGTTTTTCAGGTATATTTCTTTGAGTACTCAGCAGGTCTGGAGCATATTGAATTTCTGCCTCAAAAATCCCTTCTTGGTGACTTAGTGCCTTATTTGTATCCAGTTCTCTTTGTCTTGAGGGGTCTACTTTTCCAGCCACCCAAGAAATAAAAAGTGGCATGGGTTGTCTTCCCTTGTGTTCTTGCTCACTGATGAGTACAGTGAGAGAAAGTCCTGGCAATCTCTCATGGGCAGTATATTGATTTTATTTAGTTCAGTTTAGCTACTTAGTTTAAATTATTAGTCTTGCTGGTTTATGTTAGGGTAGCTATTTAAAGTATTGATTTATTCAAAGGATATTATACAAAGGCTATTAATTTTTTTATAATTTTTCTCATTTTTTGTAACATCCTTGGAAATACTATGTTGAAGACAGAAGCTAAGTCACCCAAAGTAGTCTTTTTTTCAGATGGCACGATTATATCCAGCCAAATGGCTCTTTCTGTCAAGGAAAAGGACACATTTCTCCATAAAGCATACTTCCTTGAAGATTTGTTTGTCATTTGTTTCCAAATATGGTCAGAAAGGAAAGATGGGAAAACCTTCCTGCTGGAGTGTTTGATATATGCCTCTGAGACAGTGACTGAGTTTGAGAAAAACCCCACTCTGTGTCTTTCAGGCCAAGGTAAATGATGGCTGTATTTCATATTGACACGCAGCTTCATCCCAGAGGCTTCTCATTCATTTGAAGTTATTTCAGCATCAGATTTGAGGGGGGAAGTCTGTGCGCATATACGCGCACCACAGAACCAAGGATAAAGAAGAATTACCGTGATTTACTTCAGCATCTAAGACTGTATTGCCAACAATCTCCCTCTTTCACACTGGGCACTCGGCACCTCCATAAGAATTACCTCCTTCATGCTAGTGGCAGTCTTTGACTGCTGACTACCTACAGACTTGGTATCCAGCATCTCAGCTTAAAACAGTATGTGGAGCTGCACAATATGCTGGGATCAGTATAAGGGTGACCTCTCCTAGGCTGGATGAAGCTGTTTGAAGAAAAAATCCTCTGCACTGGTTAGCATCACATACTTCTGTTTGCAAGTTTGTCATGTCCACACTTTATATCCTATGCTTCTGCTGTGTGCAGAAGAAAGCCATCTCCTGTTCACCCTTCCTCTCTCCCTTGAGAGCTTGGTGTGAGTCAGGAAGATTTCAGGAAACAAAGTCTTTTGAAGGTACTTAGAAAGGGATCTGTGATCTTGCTGATAATAAGACATCCCATGATGTCTGGTATCCTCTCTGTATGGTGTGTGCACCCTATAGGCTTTGGTCTGGCTTTTGAACACTACTTGATTTAGCCCTGTCACACTCTTGTGTCCTGAACATGTGTTCTTCACCTAATGCATTTAGACTCATTAGATAATGAGCTGCTTTAGACTTGGCTACTAGGTGATGAGAGGAAGAAGGCTGAGAGGTACTTAATGCTTTTAAGAGGTTCTCTGAACCCAGCTGCAGTACCCTTCTCTTATGCTGATAAGACCATGCATTATCTACATCAACTTCTGTTAATGGATTGAAAGTTTTCCAGAACTTAATCGCCACATGGCAGCAGCTTAAAATAAATCTCATCCAGATAGTCCAACAAAACAACTAAGTTCTTGGACATGCTGTACTCAAGAGCACAAGGGATATTAGCCATGCCAGAAAATGATGGCATGCTGGAGACTGCCAAAGCGCTCTGGCAGCAACCCACTACTGCCATGGCCATCTCCAAGAAATTATCAAAGCCTTCTAGATGGATTGGGGTATTGTTATTCTCGTCTTGCATCTGGCTCTCTGGTTGTTCCAGCTAATCAGAAGAGAACAACACAGCACAGTCCTCCAGGACCCATCCTCATAGAAAAGGATCTCAAAAATTGGACCTGTTTGGCAAAAGGAATGTTCAGCCATCCACCCATAAATGAAAGGAGTGAATTACAAAGCACTGTTTTCAGAATAAAGGACAGATTGCCTAAATTGCCCAAGGAGCAGCAAAGGGGAATATAAACTGCTTTGGCAATAATCACTGTTAGTCTTGATGATCTGTTTTATTCCGTATTTTTGAGCCCTCACTTGGTGTCTCTGTAGACACCTTTTCAAGTGACCAACTCAGAGCTCATATTTTCTCTCATGACTTGCTTCATTTTCCAGATTTACCAGCTGTACTTGAAGCATTCTGAGGATGTGAGCTAAGTGCAGAGATGCCAAGGAGCCTCTTCGAAGGAAAATACTAAATCTTATTTGGAAAGGAAATGCTTACAACAGCAACAACAACAAAACCAGTAGTTTCTTACCCAAAATGGTGTTTTCCTTTAAACTTAGCCAGGGCTGTTATTTTTCCTTAGAGAAGTTTCAAAAAACTTTATTATCCTCTTGATTTTCCTGGCTGAAATGCTGTACTTCAGGACATGCCTGTGTTCAGCTGGGAGAGTGACAAAACAGCATAAGAATTTGACACTGTCTTATCAGTTGAATACCAAAGACTGAGTTTTCTAAAGGCCTTTGACTTACTGTTCCTGCGGGACAGGATAAAGTCTGGGGCCCATGTAGCTAACAAACATGACAGTACCTAGAGGTATAAGTAACATTCAGAGAACCCAATGCCTGTATTTCCTCCATTCTTTACACTAACACTGGCCGAAAGGATGCTTGATGTAACAGTGCACTGCAGGAAGCCTGAAGAAGTATCCATGCTTTCAGTCACCCCAAACATCTCAGGAGGTTTGAGCAGCGTTCAGCAGGACCTTTCTTACAGTTTCAACCAGTACTTTTGAATGCTTTTGCTGGTGTTGGGTTGGCAGAGCCTTTTCTTCTGTCTAGGGAGTTGTAACGCTCAGCTCTTCAGTGTCTCAGAAGCCTCATCTCAAAAAGCTACTTGAAAGATAAGAGGAAATGTTCAAGTCTGTGATCAGTCAATCTTCGAAGGCTTTAGTGCTGACAGCAAATAGGGAAAATTTGTTTATTCTACAGTTGGTTTCTGTGAAATTAGTAGCAAGCATTAGTAATTTTTGGTAATTATCCTCTTCTGTTGGGTTCTGGAGCTTTAAATGTGGAAGATTTAATGTATTATTTCCAATCCTTTCAATTGTCTAGTCAACCAAAAAAAAAAGATAAAACCATATTGTTACAGTGCATGAACGTAAAAGAATTCTTGATTCTGAGTATTCTCTCTTTTTTGCAGTACGTTTTCCGGGCATCAAAACATATATTGATCCAGACACGTATGAAGACCCATCTCTTGCTGTCCATGAATTTGCAAAGGAAATAGATCCTTCAAGAATTCGTATTGAGAGAGTTATTGGGGCAGGTAAAAGTGTACCCACTTTAAAAAATGTCTAGGCATGGAAAGGCTGCTTTTTTCCCATCACCAGGATAATGCAAGTATTTCTCTGATAGCAGCAGTTCACTCTCAGGTGGTGTACATGAGGTGTTGTTTTTGGCTACTGTTCTGAATGTGGGTATATTCAATTAAGGAGTTCTGGAGAGGTCGGTTCTCCAAAGCAATAGGTTTACCCCTTTCTAAGGCTTTATCAACTTTTTGGTGGTAGGATTGAGTTTCATGGGGTTTTTTGTTTGTTTGTTTTGCTGGTTTGGAGGTTTTTTTGCTTTGTTCCAAATGTACTCAAAACGCCATCACTCAGCATTTGCCATAGTCACGTATTCTCTGTCACTGAGGGGGAGATTAGGTCAGAATCTGTTTCTGGGGAAAGAGAATCCGTTTCTGTTATCTTACTAAGATAAGAATTTAAAAGACAAAGAAATATTCTCAAATAGAAAACAAGAGGAGTACAAGGGGGAAAAGAAGAGTCTGGCTTGGGATAGGCTTTCCTGTAGCTTTTCCTGTAGCTGTGCAGAGAAGGATCATTGTCAGAGAGGGAAAAGTGGAAGATCTGATGAGAAGGTATAGACAGTATGAAAGGTGACATGGAGCTGGGAAGCAATATGAATGAGAAAAATAGCAGCAGGATCCACTCTCAAATCCTGTTTGTCTTTGAGTGTGTGGTGGGGATGCAGAGGAATTATGTTTAACAAGTATTTTAGACCCTGGTTTCATCCATGGGGTGTTTACCATCAGTTGAGAATATCCCATTGAGGTTGTAGGTCATTGCACTGCTGTGCGAATATAAGTTTCAGAAGCTCATTAATCCTTTCTGTATGTTGGCTCCTTTATTTTTTTAAGCAAAGGGATATGACATGCCCCTTGTGTTTTTAGGGATCTTACCCTTTGCTAATGTGCTCTGTTTATAGGCATGTCTGTTACGGGCATTGGGTATTAACTTCTTGTCTTAGCTTTTGTTTAACTGTTAGGTTTTGATATTCAGGAAAGCGCTGTGCAAGTTCACTTTGCCTTTGCAGGGTTAAAGGCTCATGGCTGCTCTCTAGAGTTCAGTAGAGGTCCTGGCGGCAGCTCAGTGGTGACAGAAAACACACCTTGTAAAGATCAGTCTTGTAAAACCATTCCTTGTAACTTTTGTACTGACTGTCTAGGGCAGATAGTATTTCATTACTGACCAGATCTTGGGATTGTTTGCTCTGTGGTTTACACACTGAGAACTTAAAAAGAAGGGACTTACAAACTTACCTAACTAGTGGGTCTCACTGCATGGCTTGTGACCAGCATGTCATTCAGAAGGCCCACTAACATTTCACAGTTATAACAAATTAAAACAACGGATAGACTGCCTGGAAGGGTCTGAAGTTCATGTGGTACATTACATCCTCCGTATTATTACCCACACACTGTCAGTGGCTTAGGAACACGAATCATTTCTCAGCCCCAACAGAAAGGGAAGGTGGGAGAGCTAAGGATCTGTATCAGAAATGTGGATGGACATGGAAGCAGAATCCTGAGCTCCAGCTCCAGCTCTGAAATTTAATTTCTCCTGTGAAAGACCTTAACATTATACCTGTCTGTCTTCAGTTTACACAATATGGATATTTCTCTGAGTCCTTAAGATATTAAGAATGACTAAGTTTTCTAAATCGCTATCTTAAAGGTACTTTTAATACTAGCTACATAGAACTTTTGTCTTCACCTCACTGTATTTTATTTCAGTATCAATAATTAGTACGTTCCATACTTCAATGCCAATCTTTGAGCTATCCATTTTGAGTTTTCTTTAACATCGCTGTTTAATTACTTACTATGTAAATGCAAACATACAAATGCTTCTTTTTAACCTTATTTGCTTTCTCTAACTTTAATGTTATCAAGAAAAAAAGCATTTCGCAGTACAATGGACTGCAATAATCAGAGTTACATCTTGTAGAAGGGGGGCAGTGGAAAAAATGCTTTTATTTGCTGGTGAGCCCACCAAAGAACTCATACTAGCAAGTATTGTCAGGAGAATTACTATCAGAAGACATACTGTGATCCTTCTTTTTTATCTTTGTTTCATTTATCTTAGCCACTCTAGAAGGCAAGGTATTTTTCAGTGAAGATCTCCCTTTTAATGATACATTACTACACTGATAGGAATGGAAATGTCTCCAGTGTTGCTAGAAGTCCATTAAAAAGTGGATCAATGCACTAGAAAATGTCATTCAGATAACATAACAGAAACAAAACCAGGCCTGTTAACAAACAGAGGAGAGAAAGTATCAACCTGAAAGAGAGAAAATTCTGTTTCATGCTGCAGTCCATTTCGAGAGAGTACTTCAGAGTTTACCTGATTGCTTAAGGTAGATAACATGTAGCTGACACTTTGCACCATAGGAATTATGTGCCTCTGGGCTGACTTCTGCAAAAGCATTCTATCTGATTTCTTTTATTTCTTCCTTTTCCTCAGACATACGATAGATATTGATGCCTTAGATTATAAAGCATGCTAAAATACATTCAGCATTATGGTATAACTGGTGATTTCAAAGCAGGTGAATGCAACAGACAAGGATTGAGTTTATTGATTTTAGTTCACATGAAAATTGTGTTCTTATTCTCGAGTTAATACCATTATGAAAGTTCTTTACTCAGCTTCTCTCTCCCTTTTCTTGTGTGTGTGGAAGTGAATTTTTGCCTGCTTTGACACATTTTGTATTTTTTATCTTCTAAATTTACTTGGGTAATCTACTTTCTTCAAAGATATTTGCCTAGCAGGGCTTGCAACCTGACTGCAATGATATTTAAACCCGTTTCCATACAGGCAAGATCCATGCCTGAGGCGTGGAGAGTACAAATTCTGACAGAGTTTTTGATAGCTGCTAGGAGACATAACATATCATTGTAATTCACAGCAGTCCTAAAACATTCTTTATACCTTCTCTCTAATTCTATATTAAACATTGCAACTCCATGTAAAATGGATTGCTTTTGATAGGAGAGTTACTTTGAAAAGATACTTTACACTTTTCACCTAAGTGAAACAAAAAATGGAATCTTCTACAAAATGCAACCTTAAAATCTTTTAAGAAGTTAATTAGTCAATGCATTTGTTAAATTTGTTTTGTTTGAACAGTTTGAGTAATGGTTTTCAGTTTGCATTTCTGCATCTCTAAATTTTCAAAACAAAAATTGTTTCCATCAGTACCAAAAGTTTTCACTTTGAAAATGTCAAAGTGGAGCATTGCAAATATTTTAATTTTTATTTTTCCTAGCATTTCTGGCCAAGAAATTTTTGAAACTGATCTTTTACAGAAAACAATTTCCAGTTTGCTTTTTCAATGGAAAAAGTCATGTCCAAGAGCTCTTGACAATTCACTAGTTGCAATGCAGTCTTCTAATAACTTCTGCTGATACCTTGTTTTGAACTGGAACATAAAGGCAGTTGGGGAAGGAGTTTGCAGCTAAATGGAAATTGCAGTTTGATCAAATATTTACAATAGCAAGCAGATTGCAATACCAAAGGCAAAACAGAACCTGTTTGTGAGTGCTTTGCTTATGTTCTTCATGGTACCATCAACCAAATAAACAGGTATTAATGAAGTTCATATTCTAGCAATAGTTACTGTTGAAATGGTAACATTGATTAGTTGATTCCCTTTTATCAACTATTTATGATAAAGTTTTACTGTTGTCCAACTTGAGATTGTATATTCTTGTATTCAGAACTCTTGGCTGAGATTTTTATCACTAATATTAAATATTCTGTGGGAACTGCAGTTGGTTCAGTACAAAGATCCCACAATTTGCCATCTATTCATTGCTGTAAATTTTCTTCAGATGGTCCCTTTCAACCGCTCTTCATGTTCAGGTTGCTTGTTGTTACCGTATCAATTGATTTTGTCATGGCCTTGGCACTTTTTTCTGCCCCATCAAGAGGTTTAAGGCGTCAGCAGCTCTTTATGGAAAGAATTCTCAGAGGTATTTTGCCAAGTCTTAAAAATTACAGTTATCCTTTTATTTTCTTAGTTAAAATGTTGTAAGTCAAGGAATGCTTTGTTTTTTCAGAGTAAAGTGTATTCTTTTTATTAACTAAATCCTCTGCCAGTTCTCCCACAGGCATAATGCCTAAAACTGGGGAAAATAAGTTGAGTTGTATTTGGTGCTGTGACCTTTCAGTTCTGTCAACAGCAACTGTCTGTGTTGTAAGATATTTGTTTTGATCCCATGTAGTAATACCAGACTGCATATCAGATTTTAAGTGACTGACATTCCTGTTTCATTTTAAATAACACATATGTTAACACTGAATGAGAAAAGGGATGCGTGGTTTGTACAGGATGAAGTTTCCAGACTGCTCAATTAGCTTCTTTTTGTATAACATACAGTAAGATGTGTGGGGTTTGTATCATTAAACCAGTGATTATTTTCACTTTATTAAAAATGGACAGAAAATGAACTCTTATCTTTTTTTCCAGTCATCACCAGCTTTTTCCCTGGAGCAAAGAAAGATGTTGACTTCGTTGACATCTGGCTCTTAGCTTCTACTTATTACACATGCAGAACCTTTACTGCTGCAGGGTCACCACTGGTCAAACTTAAGTAATGAGACTTAGATTCGTAGATTTTAGAATTCCCTTTTGTTGAAGACATTCCCCTTTGACTTTAAAAACATTCAAAACTCTTTATCTGAACAAAACTCCAGAGAAAATACTCTGGGGTGAAATCTTGTCAAACTCTTTCTCAGTGTAAATAATTCAACGCTTCAAAATATATCATTGATCTCCATCTAATCTAAATCAGCATTAGAAGTTATTACACATACCTTAGGTTTCCAAAAGCAGTAACTGTCTGTTTTGTGATCTGATGATCACTTACTGTCTGTTTGACATTATGTCACAAAAAAAATTACTGTGAGTCTTAATGTTCACCAGTTGATCAATCTCAAGAGCCAAAAACAGTGAAATTACTTTCTAACCGCACAAATCATTCTTCCAAAAAAGGGAAAAGAAACAGGTCAGGGAGAAGACACAGTTTTCCCTTCCCCTGCTTTGGATGTTGTATAGATAATAAATCTTGGGATTGTAAGTCCTTCACCTGCCTCCTTCAGTTTAATTCATTTCAAAACACTTGGTGAACAGCCCTTAACAGTCCCTGAAGTATGAATGCCATTATTTATGAAATTCTGAAGTTGTACTATTCTTGTATAATCTTCAACTAGCAAACCAATTTAATTTATAATCTATGCTTTCCAAACTGTTCTCAAAAATGAGATTTTGCAGTTCTGCAAATTTATTGATTGTGAAATCCCTTTTAAAATCTGGATAGTAAGGCTCTAGTATTTTTGCTTTTCACATCAAGAGAAAGAACTTGGAAATTTTTCTCATTTTAGGTATTTGAGTTTGAAAAGCCAGAGGTCATGGCTTTAGAGATTCGTTCTAGCACTGCACCATGTATGACAGGATAGAAGATTGATATACCATGTCTCTTTCAAAACATTCACATTTCATGACTTTATGGTAGGACTTTGGAAGTCCAAATTATCTACTACTTTTTCACTGGAAGTAGGCAAACAAACTTTTAAGGAGAGCCTTCTAAGAGCTAAAGGGGCAAAATCTGTAGGAAAATCCTTATCGAAATATCCCTTTTGTCAAAAGATTCCCAAAGCATTAGTCTAATGACACGTATTTTCACACGTACACACACATTTTCAGGGAAGAACATGCTTTGATTTGTTTCTTAAAATTAAGTAGAAATAAAACAAATGGGGGAGAGGGGTGGTAGAAAGAACCCTAGAACACTTGGCTTTTGTTAGCTGTTTAAGAAGCTGCTGATTTATTCAGGGGTTATGTTCAACATCTGTTAATTGTACTATTGCACTTGGTGATGTCTTTGTTTTGAAGTGAAAGACAAGCTATGAAATTGGGTTTTTAATCCCTCCACTCTTCCTGGATCTTACTAGCTAATAAAACCTTATTTTGTTTTAGTGGAAGTGACAGAACCTAATAAAGTAAAAGCTGTGTAACAATATCCATTCGAATCCTGTAACATCAGGGAGTTATAATTTTCTGAAGTGAAGCTTCTGCTTTTAAGGCCTCTCTCTTCTAGATTCATATCTGAACTCATACTGTTCCAGGGTAGAGCTCTCTCATTTTGTTTTCTTTTGTTCTGTCCTTAGTGTTTAAGGAAAAGTACTTCAGGCAGCATGGAGTGGAGGGGGTAACAAATTACTTCCTCCAGTTACATATATATCTGGTTATGATGGGGCTTTTGTTTGTTTTTCAGCAGTTCCGATTTCAAAATCTGGGTACAAAATTTAGTTTTGCTGTAGAAGGACCCTGCACTGAGACTTGCCTTTAAATATTTTCGTGAGCATTGTTTTATGTTTACTGAATTATGACCCACTGAAAACTGCCCTGCAGGCATCCAGAGTATATTTGCTAGGGGCTTCAAATAACTTTTGACTGGGTTCAAGATCTAAGAAGCGTTGTGATTTCCAGACAAACTTAATTAGTAAATCTGTAAAGGGAATGAGAGGAGACATGCATTCTTCAAAGGCCCTAACATACACAGGAAAACATCAGCTGAAAGCAAGCTTTGAGATTGCTCTCATATGCAGCTCAGTCCTGATTTGCTGAAACTGTTTGCCCTTGACTGTCTGAACAGTGAAATATGTAATTAAAGTCAAGTAGGTGTGTAAATCCATTTAAATAAACCATGTGCAACTGCTTTTCTGTGGCATAATTCATTAAGTACTTTTACGTGCTTTCCGAAACTGGGGGGTAGTCAGGTATTCTGATGGTCTCATGGCATTTTTTTTCATATAGGTCTTAGTGTGTGACACCCCTATAGATAGATATTGCTGTCAATAAGATTTTTTGGAGATAGATATTTTGTCTTCATTAGAATGAAAATCTAAGTGTTGTTACATTCCTTCCTCATAGCATGCCGAGTTGTATCACAAAGAGATTAGTATCATAGTTTCAGTCTCAAAGTGTCAGTAAAGCAAGATGAACAACACTGTGGAGGGCTGATGGTTTGGGACCGTTATTGCAGTGAAAGTACAAGCCCCTCTCATGGTGTGGCACAAAGGAAAGGTGTTTATTGTGAATTAATGCTGAATATTTTGCTTTTCTGTGATATGATGAAACTTGGGAACTTGGGTATCCCATCCATTATTTCTCTGTCTGTGTCTGTGGGATATGTGTTTCTTGAATCTTTTTGCATTCTTGTTTCACTGACAACTACAAATAACTCTGACTCATAATAAAGGACAACTTTAAAGATGGCTACTGAAGGTTCTTTTGAAAAACAAGGTGTATAACTTTAGCAGTACAAACTGTACTGTAGTTCTGCAGGCACTGTGAGTGATCTAACAGATATTTTCTCTGTTTAAGGTGAGTTTGGAGAAGTGTGCAGTGGACGTTTGAAGACACCAGGAAAAAGAGAGATACCTGTTGCAATTAAAACTCTGAAAGGTGGCTATGTGGACAGGCAGAGAAGAGATTTCCTGAGAGAGGCTAGTATCATGGGACAATTTGATCACCCAAATATAATTCGCCTTGAAGGAGTTGTTACAAAAAGTAAGTTACTATTACTGGTTCTTTTATCGTTGTTCCCATTCTGTGTCATTTAGTATCAAAATTAAGTGTTAATTCCACATTCAGTATGGATTGCAATTCTCAGAAAGCATCCAAATCATAAAATGACTGTAGATACTGCAGAATTTAGGACTATAATAGGAAATGCATAGCTGTTTTCATTTTAAAATGTTTTATTTCTGTTATTTAATAAAAATCCTTCTAATTCAAATAAAGTGTTTACAGGTTCTTATTAAATAAACTGTAAAGTTTGCTTATAGGTAAGTGGAATACAGTAGAGAAAACCATAAATATAGATGACTTGATAATGAAGTCAAATCATCTTGCAACGTAGCAGCTATATTCTTCTTTTCCCAAAAGAGCTCATTATTTATTTGGTTGTGTTTTATTGATTTCAGTACCAGAAGAAATCCATTTCCTGTATTTTAAAGAAATAAAATATAAGCTCTCTTAAACTTATTGTACGCTTGCGAATTATTCACTAAGATTCCAGAATAACATGTGAAATGTCTTACTCTTTATACCTGTTGCAGCTGCCAAGCGGTATCACTTGCCTCTGAAACCTAGTGTTATGGACTTTTCTGAAATGCTGAAATATCTAACTTACCATCTAAGTATTAAGTAAAAAGTCTTATTAAAATGCATGTGATTTCTTTAATGCCAACGTTTTGCAGTAATGAGTTAAAAAACTCACTTTATACTCTCCTCAACATTCATCATTGCCTCAGCTAAGCCATGTTGTTTGCTACGTTTTTCCTTTAAAGATCAAGTGTGGTTTGTATAAAACGATGTCCTCTTATTTTAGCAGTAAATACAGTAAATATGTTATGAATATTTCCTGGTTTTCCCTCGTTACAAAGCTATGCTTGGAAAACAATATACTGGAACAAAGAGGAAAGTATAGCTCCTGAACTCATGTCATAGAATCATAGAATGGTTACGCTGGAAAGGACCTTAAGATCATCAAGTTCCAACCCCCCTGCCATGGGCGGGGATACCTCACACTAAACCATCTCACCCAAGGCTCTGTCCAACCCGGCCTTGAACACTGCCATGGATGGAGCATTCACAGCATCCTTGGGCAAACCTTTCCACCACCCTCACAGTGCAGAACTTCTTCCTTATATCTAACCTGAACTTCCCCTGTTTCAGTTTTAACCCATCACCCCTTGTCCTATAACTGCAGTCTCTAATGAAGAGTCCCTCCCCAGCATCCTTATGGGCCCCCTTCAGATGCTGGAAGCTCCTCTGAGGTTTCCATGCAGCCTTCTCTTCTCCAGGTTGAACAGCCTCAATTTTCTCAGCATGTCTTCATACAGGAGGTACTCCAGCCGCTCATCATCCTCATGGCCCTCCTCTGCACTTGCTTCAGCAGTTCCATGTTTTTCTTGAGGACACCAGAAATGCATACAGTACTCCAAGTTTGGAGTCATTGGAATGCAATAGGTTTATGATGTGGATTGTTCAAATCTGTACCTGTGGTTCAAAATTAAGATGAAGAGGATCTTTTGTAGGTTTTTTTTTTTTCACACAGTATTGAAAGGATAAATTCATTATTATTTGGGAGTGTTTGGTTGCTAGAGTAAAAAAATCCATTATGTTGCAGGCTTCTGGAAACATATTGCTTAATGTTCTCCATTGCTCTCCTGTCGGTAGCTGTTCTGTCACAGCAAATGAGAACGTGAGTTAACGCTGGCTGAGCAGCACTGGAGATCTTTGTCAAGAGATGCAAATATGTAGGAATCTCATTGAATTTAGCTCCTTGCTGTGTAATGAGCATATATCAAAAATTAACTTCCACCAGTCTTCACCAACATGGGCCATTTATAAACAAGTATCAGAGGTATGGCTAGGATCCATGTGGTGGATCTAGTAGTTTGTGTCTCATTTCTGAAAAAGGCTAATGGCTGTGAATTACAAACATTGTTTAAATCCAATTAGATGGTACACACAGGGTGCAGTTTAATGTGCTTGGCAATGGCATGATTGTTTAATCTTTGCCACATTTATACATTTTCTTTCTATAATGGCTCATTGTCAGTCTAGAGAAAAATGAAGACTACATTAAGAAAATAGAAACAAACAGATAAATCAGTGCTTCAGTATTAGAGTATCTGTTCCTGTTCTACAGGAGAAGTGATTATATAGATAACTGCAAGTGAAGAAGTCATCATTAGCAGTTCCATTTTTCTCTAAGGAGTCAACAAACTTTACTATTATTTATGGAATGTTTGCTTAGAAGTATATAAATACACTAGGTGTTACTGTTATAGTCATACTGTCCTGTGAAAATATCTATCTCAGGTGTTAAAAAAGTAGAGCAAGTTTGAAAGGAAATATGGGTCAGGCAGGTTGAATTAAAAATATGCAGCAATAATTATAGGATGAAAAAAATACATGCTTTATCAACAGATTTCTCCATAATGCATGGAAAGGGCAAGTTTTATAAAGGGCAAAGTTGTGCAGTACTGCTCTGCTGTAGGAAAGAGGCTAGGAGGCAGGCTAAGCGATGGCCTCTTTTTTGCCGGTTTATCTTTAGGATGTTGCCTTGCATTTATGCTGCCATATCTGTGGTATTTAGAGAATAACATGCTTCAGCTGGCAGCAGAACCACTAAATCCTAAATCCAGGATCGCACAAGCCAACACAGGACAGAAATTTCCTGTAACTAAAAGGTGTGCTGTAAAAGACAGAACCTTGTCTCAGCCAAATTATTTATGTAATGATTAAAAGGTGTTTTATGTTAAAACTTAGATTAGCAACAGCGGAAACTGATGTGCATTACAGTTCCACTAACGTATAAAGGCACATTGGATGCAGTAAATTTGATTAATAGGCGTGTAATGCTGTTCTTAGCACATGCTTTCCTCTTTGTAACCATTAGTCATTAGCTGCTAGCAGTTGCTGATATATATTGCATCAGGTTTTAAGCAGTACCTTCCATAGCAGTGTCATTGACTATTGAATGAAAAAGAAAGTGGATTTGATTGTAATAAGCAGAAGTGCTTTGCCAAGTCAATAGCTATTGACTAGGGCAATAACAAATTCTCCCGTTCATTACAAATGAGAGCTTTTATCTGGTGCTACCAGCTAAGCAGATGTTAACTTTTAAATTATACTGTTTCCAAAATTGCCGTGGAATATGTACTGTACAGGATAAAAAAAATGCTAGACTAAGCCTGCTCAGAAGTAGGGCTGAAACAGTATTTTAATGCCCTTTTCTGATTGCTCCATTTCTCATTTGTCCTAACTGCGATCCCTAATCACGGAGAGCAGTAGGCAGAACAGTTGCTATAGCACAAGCTTTCTGTTAGCAGAGAGTTCATTTCAAGGGCAATTTGCCAGACCAAGGCAAATACACCATAGCACAGAATCTGGATCTGATTTTTCGCTTACATTGCTAATCAGAAGTCCCAAGGGAAACTTTGTTCCTATTTGGTTTGGTTTAGCAACATCATTCATTGCATGGTTTGCCATAAAAGGCTGTGTATTGTCTCGCAAATCTGTGAAGGATGCTTAGGTACTTTATAAAAACAGCCATGTTTCCCTTTCAAGTCACATTAGCACAGTAATGGTTTAGGGATGTCTTCTTGGGTATGTCAGGGCATGCTCAGCTGAGTTGTGTGTCGTTGTCCAAGCCGATGCTATTTCATAAACAAGTGTAAGAGATAAAATGTTTTTCTCCAGAATGAGTATATGTAACCAACATTGAGATTGGGGCTGTATAGAAGTACGATCTGTCTTCTATATCATGCTGAAGTCTGTGTTGCAGACTTTAAAAGTCTGTAGAGTAAATTAAAGGCATGCTTACAGCAAACGCCTGCCAACATAACTATGTCTACAAGAGACATGAAAAAGTGGTCACTGAGTATTGTAACTGTACTGGAAGAAATCATTGGTGTTGCATTAGCCAAACTGGAATCTATAGTTAGTTTAGCTTTATGATATTCTACATAATAGTTTACAGCACAGACTTGTCAGTACTGTATAATATTGTGCCAGTTCACAGTATCACAGTATGCTAGGGATTGGAAGGGACCTCAAAAGATCATCTAGTCCTACCCCCCTGCCACAGTATCAATGCATGCAAGGGCTTTATTGTAGTAATAATCTTCATTTGTTCCCCTCCTCCTCAGACTTTACCCCAAATAACTTTCAATTGTTAGAATGAGTTTCTAAGGAGTTGCTTCCTTTTCAGAATTTTAACTACTGGAGGATTTGAACCTGTGAGATGTACAAGAACAATACTTTTAGCACATTCATTTTCTTTAATAGCATTATGTATCTTGTTATTCTCCAGAAGAAATCTCAATCCCATCACAAAAGGAGGATGAATGAAGGTAGCACCCAGAGTTTTGGTTCTGTGTAGGCTCATATCGTGTTAACATCAAGTCTGGATTTGGAGCAACACCTTCAGCTCTCTTATTGTCTCCTCACTGTTTTGCTTTAGTGACTTTCTGCTTATTACAATATAAGCTTGTTTTGAAATCTTTAGTCAGTCATCTGGCCAATTAGTTCAAAGCTTTAATCATTAAGTTTCTCTTCAAATTATTGTGTGTAACCTGTTCAGTGCAGGAAGAGTCCTGATGTCAGTAAGCTTTGCCTTGTCCATGAGGAAGGCAATGCAGCACCATGATCCTCTTTCACTATTTTTTGCAGGATATAGCTCTTCATATCTGACCCATTTTTCAATTTTCAAAAATGCTGTGATAAAAATCTTTTGGGGTTTGGTTTTTTCTTCAGCTAAGACATTGTGTTCTAAACCTTAGAACCGTCAGTGTAATGAATTTAATGCTGCCCTTTTTTCCAACCAGTTAACAGGTTAAGACTGTTAAATGGAGTTCAGAACTCAATTTGAAGGGTGACATATTTTGCGGTGCTTGCGTTTATTATACACAGCAATGTCTATTTGGCTGTTAATGCAAAAGGACTGAGAAAATGTTGTGGGAGTGTTTGTAGCATCCTCAGCTTAGTTATGTATG